TAGTCACATTCAGTGCATTAGTTATGACCATTCACTGATACAGCCACACATATAAGTTGGTAATTAAACGGTGACAAAGTACCTCTTTCGTGAGGTGCCCGGCACTCACCTTTCCGAATACAAACTGATTCTTTGCAGCCATTTGGTCGGCGGCCGCATCTAGTTCAGGGCTTAACTCTTGGCAATGATGACACCTTAGGAAGAAAAGGTAAAATATTAAAAATGGTACAATAAATTTGTACTCAGAAATAGCCAGCTCAAAACCTCGTCTTCCAGCTTTTTTTAGTTAAGAATGGAGGTACAGGCTAGTCCCATCGGCCTAAATCCTCTGCAGATGCTTTATGAGTTTACGCAATTTAGTGTTTCTCATTTCTTCTTTACCATACAGGTAAAGTAGAGGGAAACCCAAGAAACAAAAAAGGACCAATGATGTTGGCAATGGTTGCTATAAAGGCTCCTAACGCTATACGTAGCAGCGGATAACCATAGCGAACTTTTGGAAGTACCTTCGAGATTTTAAACAATTATTGGATGAGATTTTTGTGATAATACTTAACAAAACCTTGAAAAAAAAGAAAACAGAATCTAATAATTGTTCCATTATACTTTGTTTTGAAAAAAAATAACTACAAACACACCGAGTATTTTTTATGGCTGTTTGCAAAGATGCCTCTCGCTAGATGCCTTGCCGAGTCCCTGTACGGCGTTTCCCTTGGCCTTCTCGGTCAATTCACCTCGGTGATGTATCCGTAGCGAACGGGCGGGAAACGCCTAATTCCTTTCCTCGGACAACGTGACCCAAAATGCATCGGCCGCGCAGAATAACGAGGCCAAGGGACTAGGCAAGTCAGGTACAGTGATTTTAACATTGCTCTTAAAAATCATGCTTTGCGCGTCCAACCTACAGATGAGACAGTTATCTGCCAGCATACAACTAGGTATCTGCAGGTGACGCTGATTTTCTACCCTTTCGCATACCTGAAACCCTGAAAAAGTTACTGAGCCCTGTCAGGTGGAGCCTCCCAGCAAAGGCCGTTATGGAAAGTACCCCACGCCCCCCCATGCTCCTTCCTGAACACATTTTGCCGTGACGCCTCGGTAGAGATGTTCTGGACGATAAAATTCGATACTGACAGGTTTAAAGTAGTGCATCTCAGATTTCAAGGTTTTATATTCAAACGAAGATTTTAGTCACAATGACTGACATCCTTTATTAAGCCCTCTTAAGATAAGATGATTTTAATCAAACAGACAAATAACCTGTTGATTGAAACCGACAGTCAAGCAATACTTCCCAGAGTATTTTTAACTAAAGATTACGAATAACACCTTAAAACCTATTTGTCAATTTGGAATCAGTTGTTGTTCTAAGGAAATGGAAATTAGCATATCAAAATGCGACAAAGTAATGCATTTCACGTAAAATTGACTCCAAGAGGGCTTAAGGATTACCTGATCCATCGTGTCGCTTAATTTGACTTTAATTTGACCGGTGGGGCTCAACTGAATCCGAATCGAAGTATCACAGACAATACGCCCTCACCAATCGTATTTGTGTCGAAAAAAAAGGCTCAAGACAAACAAACCAGTCAAGCATAAAGTTCTTTGTTTATAAAGGCCAACTGTACCTACCATGGCGCGTAGAATTCCACGAGCATAATGTCCTTATCTCGCAAGTTACCCGCGAAGTCTTGCGCGTTCAGCCTATACACATTGTTTGATATGCCAAGGGCAAAAGAAACTTCAAATACAGTAAAAAGGACGAAAAACGATAACATTTTGACAAGCTAGAGCTGATAATACGGACCGGTTCTTAATCCCAGGAATTTTATTTCATTTGCTGTTAGAGAGGGTGCGGTGTTTCTATTGGCTCTTCTCGTTAGTCATTATTTATTTAAAGTACGTTACGTGAACCATCACAACCCGTTGTCGAGGCAGAAAACGTTTTAATTTCATTCAAGGAAAACACACACCCTTCTCGTGACATAAATCAAAATATTTTCGCTTTTCCTTTGGCGCAAGTTTCTAAAATACAGGTTAAATATCATCAATTCTAACGGCTCTGTCAAAACACATGTCACAATCGTTTCGGGTTCTCTGCTTCTTGACACAAATGCGCTTTGGTCATCATAACAGCGCGAATAATATCGTAGTCTCTCTCCCCATCAATGACTTTAGTTTGTTGATCTCAGTCAAATTTGTGGAGGTGAGAAGAAAATTAAAAATATTGGATCCTTTTCAAATAATTATGATAATAATATTTATAATAATGCGTAACACTTATTTTTAAATAGTAAAGTTATATTTCAGCAGCAGCAGAGATAACAGTTTTGTCTTCGCTCTGAAGACCGACCAAAACAATCTCCTCACGTTAATGTTTGGTTAGTATGTTTTTACCCGTCGGACATCTTGGGAAATTTTGGAATAATGATCGGGAGCATTCGTAAGGCTTTCAGAAACTGAATTCGAGAGGGTCGGAATATCTTTTTTAACTTCCTCATAGGTAGTATCTCCTGTGTGATAAAACATAAAAATCACATGACTGCTTTGGTATACATAATTTCCCTTTTTGTTCTCTTTCAAGCGAAAAGAAACTTAGTCCGCGTACCTACGGTATTGTCTCTTAGTATATAATAAGTAGAATAACCAGTTTTTGACTTCTTAGTTGCAAGGGTAGCACGACTGAGAGACACATTGAATCAGCCATTTATTTCAATTTGTACAACTAGTTTGCCAGTTTGCCGCAGTACTACTCTACACAGTGTTACTTAAATTAACTAAAATCAAATGAATTCTCCTCCAAAAAGATCATAGAAATATAGTACTGCGAGCCGCTCCCTTGATCATGCGTGACGTCATTTCACCTAGGCAAGGTAAAATTGCCTAGAATAGAAGGAGCGGAGAACGAGCCGAGGGATCAAACAGGAAAATGAAAGAATGGGAACAAAACCTAACCGTTCTAGTTCCCCACTTCCCGTTCCCCGTTTTAGTATCATCAGCCAGAGCACCAAACAAACACCTGATCAAAAGAGTGGCTGATCTTAATTCCAGCCGAACTCCTAAAAGGAGAAAAATGCTCATTTCGGTCAGACTGCTTAGAAGGTACGTTATAATAATTTATGCATTAGGTTTGGTGCACGAAAAGGTCGGCGTCTGAATCAAAGCCGTTCCGAAGTCGAAAATCCCAGCCGGGCTAGTGCGGAAGAACGGCTGAGCCGTTCCAAATCGAAGCAGGCGTTCCTACTAGATTCAGACGCCGAACTTGTTATGTACTTAATTCAATGTATTAGGTTCAAGTTGTGAAAAGTTCGGCGTCTGAACCGGGCTTAAGATCATTCAAAAAGGAGGCTTACTGTGCTGCGTTTTTATAGTCTTTGGAGGAAGATTCTTAAGGAAACACGTCTTCAAAACAGACTCAACTTTATTACCCCGTGTGCAGAGGCCCACATTTTCGCGGTGTAAACTGACGTACGAGGAGTGTCAGCTCACACCGCGAAAATGAAGCCTCTGCTCGCAGGGTTAGGGTATACCTTTATGTACTCCTGTTTTGAACAGGTATGTTTCGCTAGGTAATCGCTAGCACCAGCTGAAGTCAAGTAAAAGAAATGAATACGTTCAACTGATCTTCTGCACAGGGCCGCCTCGCAACAATTTCACCAACCCTTATTTACAAATTCTTTTCCTATCAATGCAAAGGAGACCGTTGTTTATCGTATGGAAGAAAAGTATAACCAGCTTCCCATAAACCACGATGTTACTAGGCGACCCTTACTTTTCTGACTTAGGACAATTTTATGATATCCTAGCTGCAATTCAGAAAAGGCAAGAAAGGACACAATCCACTAAACGAGAAAAAAAGTCAACTTTTATTTGTTCTACGTTGTTTTGCATTTCTGGTTACATTTCAAGTGTCTAAACTTTTTTCTATCCTTCGATGTCCTAAAATTCCTAATAATGCGTAATAACCGTGGCGTGTGATAAACAAGACGTACGTGGTAAACAGGTTGCTATCACTTACTGAAATGATACTATGAGCGCTTACCATTTGTACGGAAATTTCGGTGAAAAATTTCCGTCAAATGGTACTGGTATTTTTTTGGCACCGAGAACAGGAACGGGATTGAGTTGTACCATTTACAAAATACCGGCAAATTGTTCGCTTTCTTTCGACTTGAAGCCTGGCACTGGTAATCCAAACAAATGGTACAGAATATTTCGGTCGTTTCGGTAAAAACGGGAAAAAAGGTGATACCTCGAAAGGTATTACTTTTTTTCCGGAAAATTTCCACCGGGATGAACCGTTCCATTTTAATTCTTCCCTAAATTTCCGGGTTTTCCATACTAATGTAAAGCGCTCTATGTCTTGATAAACTAGGACAATTAAATTCCATTGAATTTTCATGAATTTTAATTAATTGTAGTTTCTATAGAAACCGACGTAATTCCGGCTTGGCACTATACCTGAAAACGCTTGTATTGCTAAATACTATCAGTGTTCCAAATTACAAGCTTGTATCTGAAAGTGCACAATTCACCTGAAATTTCGAGCTATGCCGCCGGACTAGTCAGATTAAGACGACACTGTATACTATACAGTAATAATATTATATATTACTAGAGTACGCTACTTCTTACTTCTCACCCAAAAACAGTTATATAAGATTAAAAACCTTCCTGTTTTTCTCGCACAGCTAATAACTTAACGGACAAAAAGCAATACTTTAGTGGTTTTAGTGTGAGGTAGTTCGATACTGATTTGTTTCCCGCGAAAATTAAAACATACTCACTCCCCCTTTTGAAGGCAGCGACAATTTTTTTAGGCTGCTGAGAAAGAAGGCTTAGTTCACTTTTGCTCATTGTAAACAGGCTTTCTAACAAAGTTTGTCTGCGAGCAGGCTATCGGCAAACGGAGACGAGAGGGTGGGAGGGTTGGTAGAGGAGGAGGAAGGGTAAAGAGCGTGTTGCGTACTTGTACTATATTTCCATTCTCTCCCCTCCCTCCCCCCCCCATAGACGTCACCCACGGCACCGAAAACGCTAACATGTTTAAAGATTAATTCGCGTTATTCCAAACTTTGTCGCGTTTCGTGCTTCTTTGAGGCATTCGTGCATGGGCAGTGACGGCAAGGAAATATACAAAAAAGCGTTATGCACCTGCAAAGTTGTTGTTTTGCTTATTAAACCTATTACTTTTTGACGTTCTGGTTGCCGTCGCTGTCGCCGTTCGTAAAGCTCCCTGTTACAGACAACACCGACCAATACCATTTTAAAGAACACGTTTACAACTTGAGTAAACGTGTTTGAATTCCTAAATGTTATCAGGAGCCAGTTGTATTAAACTCAACGTCAGCCGTAACTAATGATATCTGATTCAAAGGTGATGTTACGCGACACGATTCGCAACGATCATTTTTAGCGCAACACAGCGTTGCAATGCTGGAACAATGCTGTAACTATTCGAAACAATGTCGGAACAATGTTGCAACACTATGTTGCGCTAAAAATCGTCGTTGCGAATCGTCCCATGTAACATCACCTTAAAATTTAAAAGAAAAAGTTTACACTGAGTTGAAGGGGAGTCGTGAGCTGTCACGATCGACGACGAATTTTTCTGCAGCTGGTTGCAGGTTGTTCTGTTTGTTCGCCACCTTTAAAACAAGTTTAACTACCTAACTAAAAGCCTATTCCTTTTTAGGATCAATATTCACGTTCTGGTGGAAGACATTTTCAGGATCGTACCTTACTTTCAACTCTTTCAGTCTCTGCATAACTTTGTCAGCCTCGGGGCCTTGTGGGAAGATTCTATATTTGGACAGTTTCTGATTGATGTTGTCGGCCCATGTCTTTATGACGTCATACGAGTTTTGATTCTGTGTACCAACTACAGGACCAATCCAGTACCTGACAAGAAAAAAAAAAAGACTTGCAAGCCTTCCCTAAGAAGATCGGAAGATTTCCAAAGACTTTGACTCGGAATCGCAGAATTCCTCTAATTTTAAAATATTTCCGAAGTTGACCCGAAACATTCTCAGATGACTCGAAGTATTCTGACCGCGATCGACCTATACGTTAGTTTTACGGCAAAGAGTGTTCCGAATAATTCCGAAAATGTCCCGCAAGTGAACGCGAAAACTATAGAGGGTATGGCAAAGAAGCGAGTGATTAGTATTTCACGGAAATGACTTCACAGATAAGAATATAACTGCATACCCTGCTGCTTTAAAAGCGAATGGGTTGTCCTTGTCTGTCGTTTCATTTAGTTTTCCTCCAAGGCTTGATATATACATGTTGCTAGGTGTTATTATTCGTGATTCGGGGGCTTTGTTGACTTCGTCGAAGATCATATCAATTAACTCATCTTTAAGTTCTGTTTAGGAAAATCAGAAACTTTGTTAACAATGCAGGGGGATTCTAACTATTCTAGAAACAGGCTAACAAGGAAAACCAGCTAACAACAATCCAGAAAATTTAAGTAAACTTTGTTTTGTTGGGAGTTTGCATCTCAGCTGAGGACGCTTGAGATTTTTCAGGCTGCCGGCAGCATCGGCCTTTCCTAGGAAGAGGGAAGGTGGAGAGGGGAAGTGGGGCGAGCACTTGGATTGGCTCGCGCTGATTGTGGTGCATGCGCGATTAACAGGGCGCAGGGCCTTAAGCCCAGCACCATCATAGGCCCACCCTACAGATAGACCAATTTCAATATATTAAAATTAATACTTAGCTACGAGGCTTGGGGGAATAAAACAAAAGAAATGTATTATTCGTCTTCAATGCAAAGGCCATGCTCGGCAATAAAGACATTTTTAAAACGTTGGGTATTTTTGATGCAGTTTCTTGATATCTCCAACGCCAATTCGATGCCCCACATTTTCTGTCTTTTTGGGAAGGTAAGTCCTCATTTGGATGTCCTTTAAGACTTTAAAAAGACTTAAAAGTAAACAGAAATTTCTTAAACACACTCTACATTGCTATCACAACCTATACTTAAAGCTTGTATAATACTCTAAAAAAATCACATTTTTTAAAGTTTAGCGTACCAAAAATTAAACAATAAATAAAAAAAAAACAGATAAAAATATTGCCTTCAGTCATACCTTTAGCAAATGCTCCCATTGGTGTATAGTAAAACCGCCCTCTGGGAACCATCCAGTCACCACTCTTCTGGAACTGATCAAAAGGCATGGGCTTCACTTTGTTATCAATAGGTTTTGTCCGATTTGTTAACTCCATTAGAATTTCACCACCTTCTCTTGGCGGGCCAATGAAAAGGAAGTGGCAGATTACTTGAGGTCTGCAAAAGTAAGAGAAGAGGTAATGGCTAGCTTAGTAAATAGAGAACTTGTCTGTAGAGCAGGAGGTCAAGCTCAATGCTTTCGCCTTGATCGCGAATGATGAGCCGAGGAAACTACTAAGTATTAGAATTAATTCTCTCTGCTTATCAATTTTACTTCTTTCTGCTAAATTTAAGCATCTTAATTCTCGTGGAGAGACGGAAAGAAAACTAGCTCTTTAACTAGTGGTGGTTCATGCTGGCTCGTACTGGAACTCATCAACTTAAAATTATCTGGAATTTGATTCAAGAAAATTCAGAAGACAATTACGAATCCTCAAGCGCTGAGGAGCGCGTTCTAAACACAAACAGACATTGGACCGTATAGTTTTACAGTGAGAAAATCTAAGCGTTTTCTCTTCCTAACGGATTTAGAGTGACAGTGGAACTTGAGTTAAATATACTGGAATCCTTTAGCGGCATAGAACAACGGGCGAATACAAATAACTTTTGCCTGAACTAACCTTGACCCGCGGTGTTTACTGATGAACGAGCACGTTTTTACGATCGAAAAGCAGTTTCATTAAATGGAACAAAGATATGAAACCAGATTGAGATACCAATCTGAACGATCCACGCTCAGAGGTAGATCGTTCGGATTGCAATCTTAGATTGGTTTGGTCCTTAATGGAACAAAAAATTGAATTTTCGATCGCAAAATCCGGATTTAGATTGGCTAAAAGGAGTGCGACCAAGTTGCATCCAGTATGGTTAATCTTAAGAGCAGAGATCAGATTTTTGACAGGGGAGGGGAAGGGTTGCCGGGTTTGTTCACCTGAAATACAAAATTTCTAATTGGTCACCAGTTGTTATTAATTAATAACTTTTAGGTTCAGCCGGATAATAAAGCATCTGTTTTCATTAGGTGGAGAGCGGGTGCCCGGAAGTAAGAAGGACGAAGTGTACACGGGGTATACAATAAAGGGGTGTACACGGATAACAACTGACATGAATACGTTCTTACCCACTAGACTTAAAATGCACCATCATGTAGACTGAAATTCTGTTGTCGTCCTTTTCACGAATGAAGTCTCTTGTATCTTTGAATGCCCCTGGAGCTTGAGAAATGGAGTAATACAGGTCCCCTGCCATGACTTGGTCAGGAATATCATGAAGCTGAAATGTTATGGATGTCACTACTCTAATGGGAAACAAAAGGCACAAACGTTTAGTCCGATATTTTACGTTGGGTCCGGAGGGGTTTACGATTTCCTTAGAGCGAAATGACTATACAATAGCCATGCTGGCTGGTGGTCACTGTTAGGAGGTATGCAGGGACCCCGCTTATCACTCTTTTAACATAAAAGATACAGGTACACACAAGTTAATGAAACCTACTTGGCCAATTTCAGTACTAGCATGAAGCATTTAGAGTATTGCTACCCCCCCAAGGTAACACTGCAATGGGCCATTGCAGGGTTACCTCTCAGCAGTATGTCATGAGTACCCATTAATACACCTGAGTGAAGAGTGACAAAGTGGAGCAAGGTTTCTTGTGAAACGGAAGCAACAAAATGGCAAGACGCTTGAACTTGGACTGCCAGACTCCACGCCACCGTTTTAATATGGCCGCGTTATTTTGGCCCAAATCAGTATGACCCAAAGGTGGTCACAGTCATAGGCTTCGACTGTATAGTGGGGTAATGAAATCAATGAAAGTTCTCTACGGACTTCTATATAGATCTAGCCCCAGCTCAAAAACTAAATAGCTTTATCCAAGCTGGATAAATTAATACTCAGTGAATAAGACAAAGTATTGGGGAAAGCAATTAGGCTATCCAGGGAACAGAGATTAACCTGGTGGATAGCAACTGAACAATTGGGGCTGGGTGGTGATAGTGTTAAAATATTCCACTGTTATTAAGTTTTCTCTACCATCATGTTCATAGACTGAAGCAAAAGAAAAACTTATTGCATTTTTTAGCAAGGACAGATGACTGACACATAAGTTATTCTGAGAGCATTTTCTGGTTTGCAACAAGGAAATAGTGCACAGATTTTGTTGCTATATTGTCTAGAAAAGGCTGTTATGCGATGCTCCAAAAATAGTAAATGGATAGACCGACAACCAGAACAATTTTCCAGGGCTATTGCAGAGAGGTGTACTTGTAAGCCACTGTGCGAAAGTTCCAGTGCTCTTACAGATATCAAAAATGTGCAGTTCACTTCATTTTGTACACATACATCACCCAAAACCTACCCAAAGTTAGAGCCATAGCCTTTCATCCCCCAGAACAGGTCTGAATTGTTTTTCTCACTTGCCTTAATAACGTCTCCTGATGCTGTAACCAACTCTAAGAATTTGTAAATTAAGAAAAATGACTTTTGTACTGAACAACAACCACCAGGTCTTAATTTTTATGACATCAATTATATTTTTAATGGTATTTTCAAGCACAGGAAAGGTCTATTATGTTCATAGACTCAAGTACAGCATTAAATGAAAATTTTGAGTTCTGCCTAAAAACAATACGCATACCTAACTGGGTGCTGATGTTCAGTTGGTACCCAAACTTTATAGTAAAACATGCCTGTTTTACAGTGAAACACACAAAAGCGTGAAGACCAGAAATATTTATGGAATGTTATCGTGTTGCGAGGAAAAAGCCAATAAGGCGTTAGATTACCAAACCACAAACAGTAACCATAAAGTTTGCTCGCGTGTCCTGAACTTTACTGTGATCGGTAACTACACAGTCAAAATTCCAGAAATTTTTCAGGTGTTCACGGTTTTCTGAGTGTGACAGTAAACTTACACTAATTTTCTAGGGATATTTTGTCTATTAGAGCAGTGAGGGGACATCTTTTGTTATCATCATGTTTCTGTCCTGACTATCCTAGAAAGCCAGGTGAATTATCTAAATAAGATTTTACTTACCAAACTCCAAAGCATTGTCTGCAGTACACCCATATGACCTGCTCAGGAACCCAGTGCCACACAAAAGAGTAAGTCCTGCCACACCCAGCTGGGAGTAGCTACCAAGAGGCGTAACAAGAGAGTGAGGAACTGTTTTTTCATCAACATCAGCCATCTTAGCACCCGCTCCAACAACAACTTCCTAAAATAAATTGTTCAACAGTCAACATTTCAGACTGTCAGACTTCAGATGATTCTGCACATGCATGCAATTTTAATAATTTCAATATATGTAATTTACTGTATATCATTTGCTATTAAAATCAGGGCTTCTGATAGGTTGCGGAAAAAAGTCAAATTTTGCGGGATTTTCAGAGACATATTCGGGGAAAAACCGGCCGATTTCGCGGAAATTTCACGGGGATTTTTGGGGCAAACTTTGCCGAAAATCAATCGGTAAAAATAAGGCTGATTTCGGGGGAATTTTCTGGGCAAATTTTGCTAGAAATTGATCGGATTTGCGCCGATTGGCGAGCGTCTTTTAACATCATGACTAGTGCCCAGTTTTTCGCAACATAATCTCGCCTTGTAGTTTTAAGACGTTGATTACTCATTGCGGTGACGAAGTTTCAAGATAAATTTGCAAGTTTACGGCAATTAAACAGCCCCAATAGCCGAGATACGTTTCAAATATGTTGTATCGACATGTATTTGATAAGATTTCTAGCGAATTTTGCGTGTTTTTGTGAATTTCGCGGCCCCGCGACCGCGCGAAATATCAGAACCCTTGTAAAATAATTTAGTAAAATTGTTATGTAATAATTTTTATATGCATTCATTACGCAATGTAAATATTATGTAAAATAAAACTGCATACATACTTTACTTTGAACATCCACAGTAACAGTATTCAGATATGACAAATCTATCACCACAGCATCATCGACCAATGCAAAGTCACTGTTCCTTGCAGCAGAAATACACATCTCAAGCTGAAAAAAGCATAAAAACACTGCCATTCAGACTAAAACAATTCTTTACTGCCGAATAATATGGCTTTAAGTGCTTCCATTACCCTCTTGCACCTGGTCTTGGAGGCCTTTGTCCATACACATGCTATAGACCTGGGGAAACATGGAGCTCGAGAAATAGTTGATTGGAATCAGAGACCGTTTTCAAGCAAACAGCAAGCTTACATTACTTTTTTCCCTCTGATACCAATATTTCTTAAAAGACCTGTTTACATTATGTAACAGGTGTCCTTTTGAAAATCCTTTAATCACTCCCAGTTCTAGGCTTATGTTAAATAACCTCCAAATACTATGGACGGAGTTTACTTCATATTTCCAAAAAAACTCAGTAGGGTAGGGAAAGTGTCGCAAAGGGATTCATTGACAGCTGCGTCTGCAGATACTTTCAAGCACGCTCTAACGGCGGACAACACAGGGGAACCCAAAGACCGAATGTTTCCAAATACGCCAGAAGTGTCTCACATGGTTTTTTCTATGCTTTAGAGGCCTGTTTGGTCAATTTGGAGTTGCCCGAAAAACTATTTATCTGTTTGGATGTCTTAGTAAAACTTTGGTCGTCACGAAGTGTTTTTGGTGACTTCTTCGTTTCATCCGAAAGTCTTAGCTACACTCATCGGACCGCGCGAAAGTTCGAGGACATTGCTTTCATAGAAAATTATACGGGACGTTTTGTCTTTACACCGAACGTTTTCGGAGACCTTTTATTTTTTAACAATAATCGCAATATCTTGATATTAATATGTGAAAGCACAACCTCCGAAAATCGTAGTTAACCTATTAGAAAACCTCCGAATATTTTAGACGAATGGAACGGTTATCCAGAAATTTTTAGCTTTTCTCGAGCTTTGGAAATTTCTAGGCAATATTTGCTCCCTCGAACAGTTATTTTGCAGAATAGCAGGGAGAAATGAAATATAGTTATCAACCTTCCTGGGTCTTATCGGCAGAAGAAACAAAAAGTATAACTTACAGTACAGGTTTTATAGCTTGGGCATACAGAACAATGTAATAATTTACCTGAGTGACCACCAAACATAAGCTTCCTAGTGCCCAATTCCCAGTTAGTGATGTACGCGTATCCGCAATAATTCTTTTCCAAGACTATTACTGTGATCGTATTTGATTTATATTTTTCTCTCTTTGTTTTAAGATCAGTTAAGTAAAAAACTTCTAGATTTGCATAGGTTGAAGCTTATTGGTTTTAATTTTTTGGTTTAAGTAATTAAAAAATGATATATAGATTTAGCCAAGGCCACAAGCGTATCTCTCGAAGGATGCTTTAGGAAATGTCTTTCACAATTAATTATACTTAGACCGTAAGCAGAGAGCAAACTAATCTCGTACTGAATTCTACCCAAAGTCAGCGGGTAACTTTAAAAAATTACATCACTTCCATGAGTTGTATACCTGAGCCCGCGATGCAGTCATGTGACACTGGTCAGCGGATACCTTTTTAACAGCTGTCAATTGATCACAACATGAATGTCCAATACCAAGTTTTACACAGATAGTATTAAAGTGTGCCATTTCGCATCCGCTAACATGAGGGGGTAGACGTACGTACGGACGTACTCCGTACGGACGATTTTTTCAGAACCAAAATTTCTCGGAAGCATAAATTACCATATTTTCTTACCCATCCGTTATTTAACTTCGAGGGCGTTGGATGTGATGATAGATAGCCAACGAGGCGCGCGCCGAGAACATTTCATATCCAACAAGCCGAGTGGAATAATTGTTTTATTAAAAACGCCCACGAAATGAATTAAAAATTTTTAGCCTATCCTTCGAAAAAAAAAATCTATATCCAATTTTAAAAAAGACCATTATGCAGTTATAATATTATTTAGAGTTGACGTATAATTGAATCATGACACATTTTGTTAGTATGGAACAATAGAGGGTCACAGATCATTTACCAGCTGCACGTGTAGATCACCTTTCTAGAAACAGACTAGTCACGTATTTATTATGACTCACGAGGCATGTTTCAGAAGAACCTGAGCCACCTTTATGCAGTTTATTGCAATGAGCAAACCTCCAATAATTTGAAAGACCTAATCAAGGTAGATTATGAACACAATAATGGGATAATTGGCCAATTAAATACAGCTGCCTTTTTGTCTCTTGTTGTAATAAGAGCGTAGCTGGATTTCAAGTTAATGCGTTACCAGTGAACCCCTGCTTACCCTACCTTGTTGTGTACGCAAAACTTAACAGTGTTGGCCACATCTTCGACAGAAGCCACTCTCACGAAAGCACAAGGTTGGCGCGTTCGGATAACAGCATTCCACGTTCTGTTAATCTCCTTTTGATAAGCTTTTTTATATTCTGATTTAAGAATGACACTTCCTAGAAGAATAGCCTTCAATGAAGAAAAATCCGCCAATTTGCAGGACTCTGCAAGGAAACGGACCGCGGACGGAAGATGGCGGACGGTGGACGGCGGACGGCGGACGGCGGACGGTGGATGGCGGAAAATAATAGATAAATGAATCAATAAATAAGATGAATAAATGTTTAAGATAAATATGTAAGATAGATAAAAAATAAGAAAGTAAATATAATTTGTGACACCTTCGGATCGTCGGGAAAGACAGAGCTGACAGTTTTGTAGTTCGCTCGAATGTCACTTCCAACTTTTGGCTGGGGAAAAAGATCTGTAGTTTCTGTCGTTTTAAAATGTAATCATCCACGCTGCCTTACCTGTCCGTTTTTAAAGCAAGGCCAATCCAACTACGCCTTCACCTCCACCAAAGACAAACGACGTACACATGACCCCTTAAACTGTAAATCCAAAAGCCTTATTTACGGGCTTACTTACCGCTATTATCCACTAAATACGAAACGAGGTACCTCAGAGTGCAAAACTCGCCAAAATGCGAATTAAACCGGCCAGGACTAACAAGACGTTCAGTTAAAGGTATGTATACTAAGCTTTGTTTTGCAACATTTTGACTTCCCCGCTACTGATGATCTGTAATGTAAATGTTATTGACACACACTGGTTGGGCTGGCTGTGATGATCACTCACACCGTCAAAACGAGCAATGTATAAAATCGTTTACAAATTCCACTCCTAGAAAACTTTGTGGAATACAATACTAAGTATCTAAACGGCAAGAAAGTTTGGTTACCTCCATTCTGCTTGGTTGTTGAGAGAACACCGCTGGTTTTATTGCTGTTGGGGCATTCACTTCTGGGGCCAAACCTAGCGACCACAATTCCTACCACAGTGATAATGATCGCCACGATAAAGAGAAAGACGAGAATTTGCCATAAACGGAAGGTGAATGGACTGCTCAAACAGGTTTGAGCATTTTGCTTCTTGGCTTTCGAATATTCGTCAACTAAATTTTGGTCTTTGATATCGGACTTCACCATTTCGCTGAGCTCAGAAGTCATTGTACATAAAACGCTTGATTCAGTGAGCTTCAACGAATATCAAGTTCGTGTTGGTTGTTTTTCCGTCACAAACACTAATTTATCAGTCAAATTTATTTGTTCTCTTGCGCAGTAGACCAAAAAGTTGTTTTCATGGTGACCCATTGGACTGATGCCATGAAGGAGATTAAACTGGATGATAATTTGCTGCATTTATTCCAGCTTTGACGCTTTCAACGTTATCAATAGAAGCCAAAACTAAATTTCCAAATTATTTTCTCTTCCACAAAACAAAATCAAATCCCTATATTATACTGTAACTGCGAGACTTTCAGATCGTAAGATCGTTTGCGTGACATAAATTTGTTTGACACAAATTTTTATTACTAATGAGTTCCTCGAAGAATAAATTCACGCCTTTGAAGCAAAACTCTGTATACGTAGACGCCAAGCTGGTGCTCATGAGCACCAGGCTACCTACATTAGGTTACCTACATTAGACTACATCATCGTGTACTGTATTTTGATAATCATTCGGCGTAGATATAGGGCCAACAACCCACGCAATAATTATGTGTTCGTTCGAAATACACTTTTAATTCTGTTCGCCAGACGACCTGAAATGACCAGTCCCCTCCCCGCAAAAATCGTCTTCATTGAAGGGGGAATGGGCCACGCAAAGCCTTCTGGGAGTTGCGTCTGCCATTTTGTCTTTTTTCGACATAGAAAAGGTGAATCTTAATGGGCCCTTTGCAGCTAGTCATTCACGTGGTACAAATCCGCCCTGCTGGAAAGGAAAAGTCGCACTGGGACAAGACAAACAAAGAAAATTACCATTTCAAATTACGTATGTCTTTTGTTTGTCTTGTCCCAGTGCGCCTTGTGCTCTCCAGCGTGGCGGTTTTGTACCACGTGAATGACTAGCTGCAAAGGGCCTATTGGGCATCGCCTTCTGGGCAGCCCTATATTGTAGCAGATGAGTTAATTAATGCATTTGTTACAGCAAGGTTGACTAAAGTGATAACGATGTCATGTTTGTTTTTCGTGTCCTTTGCTTCTGTTTGATACAAAACATTGTCGATTAATGGATTCAGTAACGTCGAGTTTTAACATTTCGCGGTCCATTTTTCACAGCCAGGGTCTTAATCTTATTACTTTTCACCGAACAAAATCCTATCTTCAGACTGCGATTTAGCGATAGCTTTTTCACCACCTCGCAACAGTTCGGCACCAAAACCTTATTCACAAATTCTTTTCCTATCTATTCAAAGGAGACAGTTTTTTATCGTATCAGTACAAGAAAAGTATAACCAGGTTCCTATAAACCATGATGTTACTAGGCGGCCCTTACCTTTTTGAATTAGGACAATTTTACTTTTCGCGCCCTGGGGACGAGGCTGCCAAGGACGGTTTCCTCCTAAATACATGGAAAATACTTTTTAGGCTATCCAGAGTACTTTTAGATCTCTAAAATGCATTCTAAGCAGTGCTACAAAATTTGTACCTGTTCAGTCATCCTAGAGGAATATGAGTCTATTACCAGCCGATTACGAGACCTCGGTATTATTTTCCCGAACACTTTTTTTAGATGCAATTTAACTTATAAAGAAGAATCGGAGCGAATTTTTTTGTTTCCTCTTTCCATCACATTTCAAAGTTGAATCCGACAATTTTGGGTTTTCTTTTTTCTACGAAAAATAGCCTAACCTGGGGTTTGAAATGTGAAACATTAAACTTCAGAAAATCGTAGGGATTTTATCAGGTAAGCTCCGAAAATTGTACATGAATAAAACGGTCATCTAAAAATTTTTATCCGACCACAAGTCTGAATAGAAGATCCTAGGCAATATATGCGTCCCCGAACAGATATTTTTCAGAAAACATGTACAGTGGTTGGGTGCCCTGATTTTATGATATCCTGCAATTCAGAAAAGACAAGAGAGGACACAATCCACTAAACGAGAAAAAAAAGTCAACTTTTATTTCTTCTACGTTGTTTTGCGCTTCTCGTTACATTTCAAAATATTTTAGTGTCTAATTTCTTTCTAACCTCCGATGTCCTTTTTATATCCTAAAATCCCTAATAATACGTAAAAAGGGGGCAAACTTTTTAACGTGTAAGGGCAGGGGCGGAAGATTTCAAACAGACTTAGACTGATGAAAAATTTCCTTGCAGTGAGTAATAGTTTTAGCCAGTCAGGAGAAAAATCAAAACCAATCACGACGGAAAAAACGACCTTTTTTTGGTATTTTTATAGTACCACTACGCAACATGGCTATGCAAAACCAGAACAATCTAATAACATCCTAGACAGTCACTTCAAAACACCGCTCTATCCTTGCTTGTCTCAGGCATAATGTCTGTAGGCTTCAAAGTTCTTGTACATTTCAGGTTTCTTATCGCCATTTTTGGATGAGGTTCTTTTGGGAGGATTCAGAATACTGGAACAACCTTCTTTGTCCGGTTTCTTCACGCACTCGACATAATTCTTAATGTGATCATTAAGGAAAGCAAGGGGTGAAGATCCTTCAGAGAGAACCTAAGAAGATTTGGAAAAGAATTACGTTACGTATAACGACATACGAAACTACAGTGAAACCTCTATTAAGCGGACACCTTCGGGACCTTCCCAAGTCTCCGCTTAATAGAGAGTGCCCGCTTAATAGAAGTTGTAAAAATTGCGCAATGTTTGTTGACTATCAACATTCAACAGTTACCCTGTACTGTGATAAAGTGGCATGTTGTTAAAGAAGCTATCCGGAGTTCAAGTTCATTACCTTTCAGTACCAACTTTAATTTGTTTGTAAATCCAAAAACATTAACTGACTTCAGTACGTATTTCAAGGACGTAATCCAATACTACTATTGTCACTGAGTTCAGTCCGGTGTCCGCCAAGTAGAGGTTTTCAACAACAAAAAATTAGCCAAATACAACTAATTTTAGTGTCTGTGTCCGCTTATTAATAGAGGTGTCGGGCTTAGTGTGCTGAAGGGTGTCCGCTTAAGTGGGGGTTTGTTTAATAAAGGAAAAATAAGACGAATTTAATTTCATTATAGGGATTGCTTTTTGTGCCGACAGGAAAAGCAATGCCATCCGATATGTTAACTTTAGAGGGTGAGCGGGCCGTTCGCTCCGTTACAGACGTTGTGCCGAGGCCCACGTTCTTACGCCGTGTGAACAGAAGGTATGGTTTTCGTGCCGGCGCAAAAAAATAATTTAACTGTCCTGTTTTAGTTGTCTGTCTGTTTGTTTGTTTTTCCTTTTTAAGCCATTGTGGATATGTGTGCGTATAATATATGTGCAATAATTAATCATACTGACAAATATAGTTTTCGTTAGTTACCTTACTATGCTATGTAAAAATAATAATAAAATAAATAAAAGAGTTACTGATTTTTCATGTATTAGCGTAAAGATAAGTTAAATTGTAATTTTCGATAACTTTTGTAAATTGTAATTTTGCTACTTTTTTTTAGTTTCTTGGACGACCAGTAAATTAAAGTTGTTGAAAAAAAAAAAAATAAAACGCCTCAGTGTTATTAAAAGTAGTATATAGTTGTCAGCAAATTCGTCGTGAAACTCGCATTCTCTTAGCCACATTACCTGGTAATGGAAATCCTTGAGGCTGAATTGTTCACCCAATTCTGTGGTTGCATACTCTCTGGCGTTTAGAATTCCTAGCCTACCAACCATGTAGGCTGTTGCCTGTCCCGGCCAGCCCTGGTAACGAGTTACCTGACGCATATGAAAATATCATATTTTTCAAGTCGATACTAGCTTAATAATGATAACTTTACTTTAGTCTTAATAATAATAACTTTACTTTAGTCGTAAGCGAGAAGTTTATAAATTGTGTTATAAATAAATTGTGTCATCATCATCATCATTATCATCACTATCCTCATTTCCAAAAATTTCCCATACTTTTTTTACCATGTTTTTATTAACATCATTATCATCATTTTCATCATCATTATAATCAACTTCATCATTAGAATTATCACCATCTTCATCATAATCATCGGCCATCGTCATCATCATCGTTAATTCCGTTGTTTACCGTAGGGAGTATTTATAGCGCAAAAGTAAATGAGGCCAAGCAAGCAACTGAAGCAACTAATTCAAATAAACAGAACAGAGTATAAGAATCCCAACGGCCCAGAGGCAAACCAGTTGGTTGTTTACAAACGTGATCGAGTATTTGAACTCGGGGCCCAGCTATAGCGGTCAGTGCAGGACGTGAAGTTAAAGTCCAGCCCTCTAACCACGCGACCACTCTGCCTTCTCTATCAGTCAAGTATCATCATCGTGATTATCTTGGACCAAGAGATCACTATGTTTTGCTTGAACTAAGGACAATTTCCTACCTCTTTCTGAGTAAAGTCGGAATCATCCCAAGCAAAGTCTCCAAACATTTTAATAGCTTCTTGTCTCTTCATCCCTTTGTAGTGAAGGCCTGTATCAACAATCAACCGCACCGCCCGCCAGATCTAAGGACAGAGAGATCTCAGCTGATTAAAATTTAAAATGAAGTAAGATTGTCCGGTCTTTATATAAATGTTGAGTCTGTCGAGACCTCGACTGCGCCACAGATGAAACTAAGCTTCGGACTAAACTCTGGTTGGGCCCTTGGCCTGTGTGCATGTACCAGGATTTCAGTACACGCTACTCGCCATGATTGGCCTGTTGAAAAAGCCTTTGTCGATTCGCCAGTCAAATTGAAAGGAAATTCGAAACTCACCTCCAGTAATTCGGGGCTAAATAACGTCTGCGACGAAGGCTAGTCGAGACCATAAAGGATTGTCAACGGATGTACCTTGAAAATAATTCATAAAAATTCCAAAACCTTTTCCTAAGATTTTTTATCATCTAAACGCGACTCACCTGCCCCTTAAGCATGCCGTATTTTTGCATTGGTTCGTTTTCATAAACATCTGTGTCATCTGATGTCAGTGGATTTTCCGCGTAAAGAGCCCAGCCTTCAAAGAACGCTGTGTAGTGTGTCTTGGCTTCTAACCAACTGACCACCCCGCCGCATGTGCGTTGGAAATTTTCTAGGGCTCCTTGCTCCTAATTACAGGAAAAATAATACATTGAGCAGCCTACATATGCTACATATTTAGTTTTCGCCTGGGGTACACCCTTACTTCTGAGAGTCACTCCTTTCGTAGTAGCTTCTATTTAGAAATGGTACCCCTTTGCTACACCTGTAGTTTAGATCTTTCCATCCCTTTTAACTGCTCTAACTACAGTTTCTTTTAATAGGGTCGTTGATTTGGAGAACCAGGATTTTCTAGGTTACCACCCCTGCGGGGAGAATTAGAATTTTTTTATTCTGAGTTGTTTATGTCACTGACTGATAAACATCATTTTTCTGCGTGTTTGCTAGCAACCAATATGGGCTGATTTTGTTTGAAATAAATCGACAACTTTTTGGGGGCTACTGAAACTTGTCATTTAGACCAGGAAATTGTAGTCACAAGTCTATCCGACTTTGGCAAAACACAAACTGCGCGCCGGGGCTGCAAGAATCTCAGGGAACAATCACGTGACGTTTTCTGGGTGTGTTGTATTCAGTAGCAACAGATAATGTAAATCATATTTCTATAGTAAAGATAAGGTGCAAGACCGCTGCAAAAAACCGTGTACGATCAATTTTGCTCAACGTCGGATCAAAAAAGATCGCGAGCAGTCGAGAATAATGAAAATTAGAGATCATTTATAAAGGCATGTGCAAATTTAACATGAAATTCATATGAAAACAAGACACTGAGAAGTGTAGAAAACGCTCTCTTTGTTTTTATACGGAAAATTTCTTGTCTTCAATTAAGGCTAGCAAGACAGTTAGTCACTGCAAGTTAGTGTACTTATCGCAATTGAATCCCTTGAGATTAGAGGGATGACGTGTAAAGATTTAAGGTAAATACAACTGGCTCTCATGAAACTTTTAATTACTAATAAGGTCCTTTCTCTCGCGAGAGCAAGGAAAATGGGAAAACGTTTTAACGAAAAATATTAAGAGGTATGGTTTCACAAAAGATCACCAAAATTGTAAGTTTCTTATCCACAGATCCAGTTGTTTACCTGAAGGTGGTGCCCAGGCCTCGCCTCGTGAGCATTTATAGTCCATTCAAAAAATTTGGGTCCCAGTCTGTCTAACCAGAACGGTATATAGTAATAACCAGGCTTGGAGCACATCGCATCACTGACCACATTACTCTGTATACCGCTTGACGGGTTCAGGTCCGGGCGTAACTCGATTGGACAGTTAGGTGTGGAGCGCTTATCCCCAGCGAAGTAGAACATGTCAACTAGTTTGGGGTACAGCAGGCTCATTGCCTGAAAAGAACAAAATCAGTAAGACATCTTCATTTCGAAACTAAAGTCTTCTTATTTCATCCCTCCGCAGCATTCATTTCCTACGCATGACGTTTAGTTGTAAGTATAAGACCTTGATGTTAGATGATGTGCACGACTAAATATTGGGCAACTTTTTGGTAAATACACTCAAGAAAAAAATTACTTGGATCAAAATTCTATTCTGTTCTATTTTTTCTTTCATATCAACAATTAGTTTCCAACCCTTTTAAAAACTGTTTACTTTTGTTTCTTGCTAAATGTTTGTTCCTTTATTTTAAGGTTTACCATTCTAGCTTCCTTGAACCAGTCTTGCAAAGCTTTCCATCTTATGGGACAATATTTCTTGGCTTCCTCAATAGTGCTGCACCGCGCATGCGCCTGAGCATCGGACTCATTTGCAGGAAAAAGTTCTTTATTGAAGTAATTATCCGGTGAATCTAACTTCTTTCTGAATTCTTTGATGGCTTCGGTTTCGTTGTTAATTCCGGTAACGCTCTTTGCTGCTTTTACGGCCTGAATAAAAATGAAGAACATTTTCAATTAATAGTCAACCACTCGAGAAGTGTGTTTTAGGGGAGCGTCTGTCTTCTGGAGGTTTCCATCGCGACAGAATTCACTTTACTCACAAAATCTGGATTTTTCCCAGGTTGTACCAGAATACTGAAAAAGGGGAAAACAAAAATGAAGCCGCCTCTTACTGAAGCACAACAGGAAAATCAAGCGACGCTGCATTGCTCTGGATAGCCCAATTTAAGGAGGTCTTCAGTTATTCACGAAGTTGCGCAAACATTTAAATAAGTATGCTAACCTGTGGATAAAGCTTTTTCAGCTGCTCATATCCCAATTGATAGACTTCATCTGGGGTCATGTCATTAGTTGTATAATACGGCAGTATCATGGAGTATGCTCTTTTACCATCTAACATTTCCCCAGTGGGCAGCTTTTTGTTGGTAGTCCAAGATTTATTTTCTTTGCCTTCAACCCAGACATGATCCAATGGCATAGTGGCTAATCCGCTAGAAAAGTTACTTGGGACACAATGGCGGTAATGATCATGCTCAAGATATCTGTGAGAATTTTAGAGACAACTATCCTTGATTAATGTATAATCCTTTATAGCCTGGGTACAGACGCCCCCTCCCTTCAGTAAAAAAATTCCGGATTTTTCACTGAGGGGAGGAAGCGTTTGTACACAGGCCGGCTATTAAAATACTTTTAGCTGGACAAAAACCCAGCTGAAAGAGACTGACTTTAGAAGATCAAGATACATGAAAATGCTGAAAATAGCCTTTTAGAAAAGGCTATTTTCAGAAGATCTGAAAAGCTTCTAGATTTCAATATTTTCGAGGGAGCATGCTCCGAGATCCCCCACTTTGCTCTCGCCTTCGGCGATCACAGATCTTGCCTCGTCTTTGCCTTCCGGGGTAGGGAGAGTCGGCTGTACACAGGCTATGCCTTGCCCATTTCAGTCTGGCTTCATCCCCACCGTTATTTTTTATTACGTGATTCTCACTCAAAGTCTTTAGATGAACTGAATGTTTTGCATTCCTCTCTGTTTCACTGTTGTGAATTAGCATTTTAATGTTTTTCATTATTTGAATATGTTTCTTCTGTGGCTTTTTGTTTAAGAAAAGAAGCTTATATTTTGAATCGATCATTCCTCTCTAATAAGTTGAATGGATGAAGAAGCAACTAGTGTCTTAATTTTTAAAGGAAAAGAATTTCAGGAAAACGGGAAACGACAATCGTCTCAGTAAGCAGTCTATTTTTAAGACAGGGGTTGCTTACTTTTGTCTTTGTAACCATTGTTAGTACACTGTTAGTAGAGGAGACTGGTTAGGAAACCCGGCAAACATCAAAGTTGAAAACAATGGTGCTGTAGGTTATGTTGGAAGCCCCCTGACCGTAGACCGTGCACAATCCTTTGTTTTCTGTTGACAAATTATGACTGAATAAATTGTGCAATGTTTTTATTGCCGGTCAATAACTTCAAAATGATAGGAATGTTATTGAACGTTGTGCACGGTCAGGTCCAATATTTAATTAACTATGTTGCAACGGAGAGAGTTAGGGGCTTTATTGTGATTGATATATCGCTATCGTTAAAACCTTGTGAATATATAGTTTTATAGTCTTATTTCGTAATGTATTCAATATACATTTTCATTCATGATATTGATGTAACTGACTTTGAAAAACCAGTCTTGGAAAGTAATAAAGTTGTCGTTATTATTAACGAGAAACATTGGGGAGTATTTCGCTTACGAGTCTTACAGGACGATAACTTCTTTTTTGGCGAAACTGAACTAGGAAAAATTCTCTGATTCACATAAATGATATATCTGATAACATTTAATATAACTTAGTAGAAACTGCATAAACTGTAATTAATCAGAATCAATTAACTCCAAAATTATTTGCAAGAAAAAAACTTTATAAAAATTTGCTGAAGTGATATTACCTAAACAGCTCACTCATTGGTTTACCGAAATATTCCACCAGATAATCATCCAAAGATTCCTTGACAGATTTACCACCATGTTCGTTTTTCCATGTTGTATTCATTGCTGCTGTAATGTCATGAAAATAATCATCATCAAGGACTTCTCGCACGTATTTCTCTTCCAAAACTCCTGAAAATATGAAACAGAGACAGTGGTATTTGATCGCAGTTTCGGTCCTATGTGTTCTTGTTTAGTGACTGGGATTAAATTAATCGATTATAAAAATTATTATCCAACCTTGCGGATGATGTTTGCTTTTGTCTTCTATTAACGTCAATAGTATAATAGGGGGTTTATGAGCGGCGGTTCTCGGTATTTTATTGTCTGATGCAATTGAGAAAACCACATTGTTACAGTTGAGTTGAACGAATGGAGTTCAACGCATTTTTTGTAAGTCAGTGCATATTACTGGTCATTTAGACAAAATCGAGGATTTTAACTAATTCTCAGCCTGCGATATAATTCCTTTCTAAGGTGTACCTAGCCTATCAGCCTTAGCTCTTCAAGCATCAATTGAAAATAGCGGGCAACCAAGGTTGCTTACTTGGGGCCGCGCATCGTTAAATGCTGATAAGTAGGCTAACTATGACAATGTTGACTCACTCCTCACAGTTGCGACGAAGCAAAACAAATTCCATAAAGCTTCAAAACAAATTAACGTTTCGCGCAACGGTACCCGTTTGATCAACTCAAGACTCCATGGGCTGTAACTAAACCGTTTGACTGAGTTACGCTACTGAAAGACCAGCCATAGAGAAAAATGCATTGTATTTAAGACATACTTAGTTTCAAAAACTGTCTCTCTCAATAGAGTCGAAACTTACCGGTTTCATTCTTTACAGCAATGTTAATGTAATATCTTCTGATTGCATTCCGTGAGCCGACGCAAGCCTCTTGAGTGTAAACCATTCCATAAAACTTGCCCGTTTTTAAGTTTTCCATATAGCTTAAAATTCCTTCCTTGTGACTTTGTAACTTCATTTGAATCACATCGACATCTTCCAAGTTTTCAGGCTTTAACGCTTTAAGCATCGAGGACAAATGTTTGTAAACATTGCAGATCGCTTGCTTGAAGCAGAAGAATGTTGGGCCCATCATCCAATGACCAGTGTAATAATTCATGTCAAAAGGCTGCCCAAAAACCGTCTTGAGAAAGTGTTTGAGCTGCGTCAGAGCTTTTTTTTCCCTTGTTTTTAACTTGTTTGAGTCCACTTTTGTTTCGTCAACTTCTTTCAATAGCTTCCATGCCGCGTCGGTGACTTGTTTGATGTATTCTGGCGTTGGGTTGTAAGCTTTGTACTTCTTCTTGATCTCATCTCGGGTCGCATCAGGATCGCTAGGCAACTGAAAGGGATGATACTCGTAGTAGCTTTTCTTTACACGCAAGATCATGTCGTCAAGCCCGATCCGTTTGGCTTCCTCGGAGTATTCACAAAAATCAGAAGAGATTTCTTCGCCTGAGCTCCCGGGATGCTTGCGGCCCTTTCTTCCATCGCAGTCTTTCCTTTTGGCTGCCAAAGCTATCAGCACAATTCCAACGACTAACACAACAAGGGCAATCACTGCCAGTATGATAAACAGAATCCTACTTTTGGAAAACGAGGACTTGCCTTTTCCTTGGAATTTTAGCTTGTCTTCGGCCATCATCTGACTTGTTTCTTTTGGTAGACCTGACATGGCAATTTCGAAGGTATAGTTTGTAATATCTTGCTTGATCTGAACACCTTAATTCACTTAATTCACTAAACGTTCTCTCATCAAACGTGCTTCAGGACCACCGCCAAAATAATTTGCATTTTCAATCTTGTTTTTCAGTTATTAGCCTTCATCATCAGCAAAACAGATTCTCCATACAGTTCACTGCACCCCTCTTGGGGTGCTACTGTAGAGAATTTGTTTCAAAGTTAAGACAGTTTAAGGTCATCATTTTCTTTATTCTCAAAACTTTCGTGTTCGACGGAGCAATGATAATTGTAAAGGAGAAATTGGCCTCTGGTCACTAAGGAATGTAAAAGGTTAAATTTTGTTGCAACCTTTTCATTTGTTCAGAGCAGACAAAAATCTTATTATTATTTCTGAATAAATTAGCAAAGTCGCTCGCTGTAACTTAGTTTATTGGTTTTTGTTTGGGGTGCTTAAAATTCAGCTCCAACATAGCCAGTTAACTCCACTGAAGGTTGGAAAAAGTCCTTCGTTTTCGATTAATATTTGGAGTTTTTCTTGATTCATGTTTGCATTATGTTCATTTATTTTTATCATATACTAAAAAAAACATAAACAAAGCACTGTTTTTTTTTGCAATAATTGTTTTAAAATTCCTGTTGCGCAGTTCAGGGCGTCAAGAAAAAGAAAATATACATACTTTTGAAAATGCTAATGTGGAAATGAATAACATTATTTGAACATGTGTATGGATGAGTGTTCTGTAGTGGTCACTAAAAAACTTATGACCAACAATTAAAGCATATGTAACTTGAATCTGATTAACTTAAAACGTAAGAGCAGCACATAAAAGCATTTCTTGCACTCGGAGCATCCTTATTCAATACTGAAGGTTTTATGACTATTTTTATACTGGCTCCAGTTTTCCTTGCCTTTTAATAAGGTGGATTTCCACTGACGCGTAATTTTACGAGCGTAAGAAAATAGAGGCAATGTATGGGAGGTCACGCGTGAAGTTAAAAGTTTCGCTCAAGTTTTACGTTCAAGGAATTGAAGTTTTACGAGCTGCGTTCCTTTTCGCCTCTAGACAGTGAAAATCCAGCCTTAAACTGCTAACCCAAAGAACCACGACTGTATCGAGAGGAAAAGAAAGAGGTGTTAGGTGGGAGATCGTTTATGGCATCGGCGAGTTATGACTTGCGCATGAGCAGATCAGACTGGGTTGCAGTTGCACAAGACAGTCTATCACTTCTTTTATTGGCTAATACTGTGAGCAGACTCTCTTTGGTTCGAAAATCTGTGAATCATGAGAGGAGCATGTGAACCTATCAGAATTGGTCTTTGAATCATAGTGTACACTTAACGGGTTGAGAACATTGCAAAAGAATTTTTTTAGAATTCTTTTGCCGGAATTGCTAGGCCGCCGCTGGACTGAGTACCCATAGCAATTCACTAGTTTTTTAAAGCCGGTTTTATTCTCATTCAAAAATGCTTACAGGTTTCTCCCTCTATCTGTCCTCTTAACTTGCTAACATCACTGACTACCGTAAAATTCCGAAAATAAGCCCATCCATGTATAAGCCCCTCCAAATATAAGCCCCCCAAACCGGTAACGCAAAAAAGCCTCCGTTAAATCGCCCCTCCAAATATAAGCCCCCCAGGGGCTTGTACTTGGAAAATTGCCCTCAAATACAACGTAAAACAAAGAAAAAATGGTAAATTTACTTCCAACTATAAGGTTAGCCCAATCGAGTTTGAAACGCAAATTTCCCTCCGTAGATAAGCCCCTCCGAATATAAGCCCCTCCAAAAATAAGCCCCTCAAAAAGGGGCTTTGAAAAATATAAGCCCCGGGGTTTATTTTCGGAATTTTACGGTATTTGATTATCTAGCATTCTAAGTTTTCCGTAATAAACAAATCTAAGTTTATGTAATAAAATGTGCGCCTCAGTTCCGAGTATTGTTTGGACCAATCCAAGATTTAATAGACTGTTAATCTTACTGAAGAAACGGCAACTCTATGATTCTTCAGATAGATTTTTCATTCAAACTCGAATTTAAGGAGAAGAAAAGTGGAAAGAAGTAACGGATTTGCATTTCCCAATAGGCCATTTCCGAGTTCCCCCTTGCCCCTGTTTCAAAACGAGGGTAGGTGCTGAGTCTTTGCTATGGAAATCATTTTTCATTCTCATGCCAATAAAACTCATTTTCACAAGAAAGATTGCGCACCTAGCCTCATTTTGAAAATGAGGGTCTTCGGAACTCGGGAGTGGCCTATTAACCCTCACCTAGTTTGGCACGAGAGCAATGCAAAGCCAATGGGAAATCCTGACGATTACGTTCGACATTTTGGTTAAGCCCATCGTATTTTAATTGCCCTAAAAGAAGAGCCTTTTTTCTTTAAAATGCAATAGCATTCCATAACTCGCCGATCCCATAAATGATCTCCCACCTAACACCTCTTTCTTTTCCTCTCGATACAGTCGTGGTTCTTTGGGCTAGCAGTTTAAGGCTGGATTTTCACTGTCTAGAGGCGAAAAGAAACGCGGCTCGTAAAACTTCAATTCCTTAAACGTAAAACTTGAGCGAAACTTTTAACTTCACGCGTGACCTCCCATACATTGCCTCTATTTTCTTACGCTCGTAAAATTACGCGTCAGTGGAAATCCACCTTATTAAAAGGCAAGGAAAACTAAAGCCAGTATAAAAATAGTAATAAAACCTTCAATATTGAATAAGGATGCTCCGAGTGCAAGAAATGATTTTATGTGCTGCTCTTACGTTTTAAGTTAATCAGATTCAAGTTACATATGCTTTAATTGTTGGTCATAAGTTTTTTAGTGACCACTACAGAACACTCATCCATATATACACATGCTCAAATAATGTTATTCATTTCCACATTAGCATTTTCAAAAGTATGTATATTTTCTTTTTCTTGACGCCCTGAATTGCGCAACAATAGCATGCCTAGTTTCTTTTTTGAAACTTTCGGTAGCGGCACTTTTCGGAGGAACAACCTTCTAGGTCGGATTTCTTCACGCACTCGACATAATCATTGATGTGCTCTACGAGGAAACCAATTGGGGACGTTCCGTGAGACAAAACTTGAAAGAAGTTGAATGGAGTGAGAATTGCAATTCATATAACATGGTGTCGATACAAGCGGAGCTTTGGTTAATGATTCAGTTCCCTGGTTCCATGCATCTAAATCTTAAATCACTTGAAGTCGCCAAGGCCAACTAGGCTAAACTTGGAACTTTTCATGAGACAACCCAAATTCTAATTATTGAATTGCCGTATTTACTCGATTCAGCGCCGCGGGGCTTATTAAATGTTTCACGCCTCAAATTCTAGGGCAACGCTTATTTGAGGGCGGCGTTTATTTGAAGAATGGACGGGGCAAAGAATTGTTTTAAGTTAACGCAGGAGCCCCGGTGGTCATAGGCTCCTTGTAGACGGTATTATTTCCCGTATTAAACTAAAAAAATTACTATGTTTTAATTTTGATTGCATCGGGAACGCGGCGCTTATTCGAGTAAATACAACAAGTTCGTCTGTTAGGTCAGACGTCAAACTAATGAAGGTTTGAACAAATCAGACATCGTCACCCGAAGCAGACGAACAGAACGTGAAGACAGACGCAAAAGGTTTCCAAGTTAACTGATAGTTTGTCTCATGAAAAGTTCGACGTTTGGTTTTGGTGGTCTACGAGTGTCTAGACCGGCAACGAATTTTGAATTAGACAACAGAAAACTATATATTATATAAGCCATATTAATACCTGGTAATGGAAATCTTTGAGGCTGAAGTTTTTACCCAAGGCAGAAGTTGCATAGTCCCTAGCTTGTACAATTCCTAGCTTACCAACCATGTAGGATGTTGCCTGTCCCGGCAAGCTTTGGTAACGAGTTATCTGTGACAAAGATATAATTAAATAAATACATGTATATGGTTATGTGATTGTTAGTCGAGTAATTTGACTTGGTGTAGGTATTGACTAATCCAGAAAATACCGTAACATACCATAATCCTATTTGTTTGTCATCCCAAAATTTTGCATAAGCACTGTCTTCAGTTTCTCTTGGAAGTTAAAATGGCCCGAAGAGAATATGTTCCCTATTTCCTCATTGGTTCTTCGCACGAAACGTCAAGTTTAAATTTCATTTCTTTTATGAAATGCGTTTGAATGTATTTCCGCATGTTTATCACCACAGTTTGCGTTTTGTTTCTTCTTAAGCTAAGATGGCCAAAAAATAAGAGTATCTATCATCAATCTCGTCATTGATCATCCTACTCTCACCTCCTTGTCAGGCAAATCAGTGTTATCCCACAGATAATCCTGAAACATTTTGATAGCTTCATCTCTTTTCATTCCTTTATAGTGCAGTCCTGTGTCGACAATGAACCTCAAAGCCCGCCAGATCTAAAAAAAGTTAATAAACGATACCATCATCATCATCATCATCATCATTTTTTAAAGTTTTTCTTGTACTGCAAAATTCCTTCTTTGTGACTTTTTAGTTTCTGTTCAATCACTTTGACGTCTTCCAAGCTTTCAGGCTTTAGTTTTTTCAGCATGGAAGATAAATGTTTACCAACACTGCAGAACATGTGTTTAAAGCAAAAATATGTTGGCCCCATCATCCAATGTCCGGCATAGTAGTTCATGTCGTATGGCAGTCCGAACACCGTCTTTAGAAAGTGCTTGATCTGTGATAGAGCTTTCCTTTCTCGAGATTTCAGCTTATCAGTGTCTACTTCTGCTTCGTTGACCTCTTTCAGTAGCTTCCGCGCAGCGTCAGTCACTTGTTTGATGTGTTCTGGCTTTGGGTTGTAGGCTGTGTACTTCTCCTTGATCTCATCTCGAGTAGCATCTGGATCACTTGTCAACAAAAAAGGGTTATACTAGTAATAGCTCTTCTTCGCACGAACCAAAATGTCGTGCAGCCCGATCCGTTTTGCTTCCTCGGAGTATTCGCAAAAGGATGATAAGGTCTGCTCACCAGATACCTGAGCCTGTTGCTTTTCCTCTCCGTCATCATTCTGAGCGCAATCTCTCTTTTTAAATGAAAGAGCTATCAGCACTATCCCTATGATTAGAACCACGAATG